ATATATATATATATATATATATATATATATATATATATATATATATATATATATATATATATATATATATATATATATATATATATATATATATATATATATATATATATATATATATATATATATATATATATATATATATATATAAATACATATATTTTGATTTTTTGAAATATATATTTATATATATTGTAAAAATAGTAAATATAATTTTATTTGGACATAAAACATCATTTTATGATTGATAAAATTATATTGTAATTTTTGAATGTATTATTTCCTATTTTGACTTTATTGTATTTGTTTAGGTGAAAATCGAAAATAAATATGGGAAAATTCAAAATGAACTTTATTAAACTTGGAAATATTATTTCTAAGTTGAATAAGGTTGTTGATAAATATATTGTACAAAATAATATTAGTTAGTAATTAAATAAATATATATTTATATATGTACTCAGTTTTATTACGAACTATTATATATATTTATATATTTGTATTTTAATTACATAAATGACTAATATATATTTTGGAAAGTTATATCTCAGTAAGAAAAAGAATGTTTTTTAAAATATTAAATTTTTATAATTTAATATTTTCGAAATCAATTTAAATGGCTTTTTATAACTTATTGAGATTTAACTAATATATTTTGGAAATAATGATTTATAAATTTTGGAAATTTTAGTTCCAGGTTTATAAATGTTGAAAATAATTACTGGAAGTTGAAATTTAATTTTCATGATTTTTGCAAAATTGTTTCAAAATTTTAATGGCCTTTTTTAGTATAATTTTGCAAAAGGGAATTTTGGTCATTTGAAATATTCTGGTATTTTTTTTATGCTGGCCGAATATCCAGATTATATAAAATTATTTTATAAAATTTTATTAGATTTATTTGGACATCTGATTTAATTTTATGAGTTTTAGAAAATATTTACTCCGGTAGTATTTTTCTAGAACTGCCTGGGGTGAGCGTGATTCACCCGGTGTATGTATATCTCTATTGCTTGTGTGGAGGTATGATATGCATGGTGGATGATTGTGGCTATAGTTTATTTGATTATAATACGACCTGCGTGTCGTGCCTTATCTCTTAAACTCTTGTTGTAAATCTATTTTTCTCTCTTACCTCAACCGAGGATTCTTTTCTCACGTGGTGGTTAGAAGACGAAAAGATTTAAAGACCGTTTGAATAAATCTAAAAGAATGGAGATAGCCCGAAGTACAAGTGCCCGGATGCCAGTGGGAGCTATCGTTTTATTTTTCTTTTAGGAGCCACAATCATTACACGTTTATTTACTGCGTTTTGTGAATGCATGTTGAATGTATGTAATGGACATGTGCGCGGCCATGTCGATAGGTGAGATCGAAATTATAAATCCCTCACAAATATTAAGTCTATTGCCTTCTAACGCCCGGCACCTATCCGGCTAATGTGCACTGTCATGTACTCAGCCTCAGCATAGCATAGTATGGTGTATGTTAAGCGGGTTACGGGAACCACCATAGCATGGTCAATGTCGCATGTTGGGTTAGACTTAACTGAGTCTCGGTCAAATGGATGGATGACTCAGAGGCAGTAAGTTGGGGTCATCAATGACAAGTCGGATGATTTTACTAACTCATCCAGCCAGGAGTTGGATCTTTATGATTTAATTGGAACTCTATTCCTAACCAAAGTAGTCTGCTTGTAAGACGTGCCTCAGCCAATTACAAGTATGGTGAAAAGGTGTCCTGGTCCGGTTGTAGTAATATTGTTCGCCCAACACCAGACCAAGAGCTGAGAGCCCGGCTCATCAGTTGGAACTATGTTCCTACCTAAATAGTTGTCTTGTGGAGTAACGC